GCTTCACCTGCTCCAGCTGAGGAGGCCCCTGCAGAAGCTCTACCTGCACCAGCTGAGGAGGCCCCTGCAGAAGCTCCACCTGTACCAGCTGAGGAGGCCCCTGCAGAAGCTCCACCTGCACCAGCTGAGGATGCCCCTGTAGAAGCTCCACCTGCTGAGGAGGCCCCAGCTGAATCTCCACCTGCACCAGCAGAGGAGGCCCCTATAGAAGCTCTACCTGCTCCAGCTGAGGAGGCCCCATCTGAACCTCCACCTGCTCCAGCTGAGGAGGCCCCTGTAGAAGCTCCACCTGCTCCAGCTGAGGAGGCCCCCACAGAAGTTCCACCTGCTCCAGCTGAGGAGGCCCCTGCAGAAGCTCCACCTGCTCCAGCTGAGGAGGCCCCTGCAGAAGCTCCACCTGCTCCAGCTAAGGAGGCCCCTGCAGAAGCTCCACCTGCTCCAGCTGAGGAGGCCCCTGCAGAAGCTCCACATCTATCAGCAGATGATCCCCCTGCAGAAGTTGAGTTTCTACCTACTCAAGAGACTTCACTACAAGGGGCTTCTGTTGAAGTTCAACCTCTATCAGCTGAGGAGGTCTTTATGAATGTGGTTCCAGTTGAAGATGGCCCTACAGCTGAAACTGGGTCTCCTTCATCAGAGGGGTCTCCTCCTGAAGAAACTACAATGGAAACCCAGGTGACATCAGTTGAGGAGAGCCCTGAAAAGACCTCTGCTGATGTTCAGCCTCCACCACCTGAGACTCCTGCTGAAGACTCTTCTGTTGTTAAACAGCCTTCCAAAACTGATGGGGTCCCTATTCAAGAGTTTCCTATGCAAGACACACCTGATGAAGGTTCACTTGCTCCTTCTGAACAATGCCCTGAAGATAAGACTTTACTAAAAGAACATCAGTTGCCCCCAGTAGCAGGTATCACAGAGAAAGAATTAGATTCTTCTTCTTTGACAGGTGATAGAAACTCTGAAGGAACAGATCCTACTCCTGCAGATGTGTCTAGGAGCAAGGATGAGCCGGTTTCCACTTTCAAAATAGCAGGTACCATTAAAATAGAGGTAAAGAACCCGCCCTCCTGAGCTATAGCCAGGTCCTAACTTAAGCTAGCAATGATACACTAGAAGATTCTAGAAGTGCATTCTTCAGAAAATGAGACACTATCTGGAAGAACTTCCATGAGCAGATTAAAGGAAAAGAATCTCAAGAGACTGAACATGCAGGTTGAGCAATGAATAAAAGCAGTCACAGCTTAATGTCCCTTGTGGTATTTTCAGGCAAATCTATGGCATGTAAAGTAACTATTGTGAAACAAAGTGAACTTATGTTTGTCACTATTACTTAAAGTATGCTTTAGAAAGTACATCTATGGACAACAGTTGTTTATTCTGTAGCTCCTCCCCTCTCTGTTCCTTTTCTTTATAAGCACGAGAAATGACAAGCTTCTTTCTTGCAGATGTCATCTGCCTTCAATTCCTTGAGTTTTATTTGCACATTTAAACTTGCAATGATGTTCTTTTCTCTGGATATGATTCATCCTGTTTTTTATTCTCTTTCCATTGACTCCTTCTGAGATAAGCATTGCTTTCCTGATACAGCTGCTGTGGAAATCAGTGTGGATAATTCTCAGGAAGATAAAAATAAATCTAACATATTACTCAGGCAGAGCACTCTTTAGCATATGCCCAGAGAACCCAACCTCCTAATCCACATAGATTTTGTTGGCCATATTCACTGGTACTCAATTCACAACAAATAGGAAATTAAACCAACCTAAATGACCTTCAACTGATGAATGGGTAGTGAAAATATGATTCATATACACTGTGAAATACTATTCAGCTGTAAAGGAAAATAACATTACGAGATGTGCAATTAAATGGATAGGATGAGAAAAGATCATAGTGAGTAAAGTAACTGAGACCCAGAGAGCCAAATGTCACATCCTTTCTTTCAGTTAAGGCAGTTAGATAGAAATCTTCACCTGAGTACATGACACGGAGTAACTGTAGAAGCAATGAAAGTAGAAATGGATATTGTCACGGGAGGGAGTGTGAAAGAAATATAGAGGAAACCAGAAGGGTATAGTGATTTGTAGGCTAAATTGGATGAAAAGGAATTCTCATTAATGGGATTGGAGAGAAATAAATATAAAAGAAGGCACAAGGAAGGTAGAATAACAGTGAGTAGGTCTGAAAAAATCATAAGGAATCATACTATTTACTATACAACCAGAAACGTCTATAATACATGTAAGTCGGTTTAAAAATGAAATTTTCCTTTCTGGCCTGACAATATTCCCCCCAAGAACCAAAGACCATCTGTAAAAGACCCCAACACCAGGCATGAGAAACTTCCTTCTTTTCCATTGTTGAACAGTGTTGTCCAAGAGACTCCCCAAATGGGTTATTGCTATTGCTCTTGGTTGCATTACAGAGGTGGAAGGTAAGTTCCTATTGTGAGGATACTGTACAATTCATATACATGATCCAGAGAGCCCTGGACTGGAAGTGATCTGAAAACATTCCCCCTGAAGAGTAGCTTTCACAGCCATGACATTTCCAAATGAGGGGAACAACCAACAGTCCTGTCCAGCTATGCCACCTATGAACTAAAATAATGATGAGCATGGCAGGATAAACTGAGTGTGCCATAGTGATATACATACGTTGTCAGTAACTAACAGTTCTCTAATTGTCTTTAAGATCTGCCCAACAAGAGAGAAATCATGCCTGGGACTAGTAACTATCTACCCAGCGCCAGAGAAGTCATAGGTCTTGGATGAGAACATATAACCACCACTTTATTAAACCATCACAATCCTCAAGGACATTCTAAATATTTGTCAAGGAAGTTCCTCTTTGCAAAAGACGGATACCACTATAGAAAATGACAACCAATCAAAATGCAGAGGGATAGAGCCTAGCCCCAACTCACACAACTACAATACAATGCTGCACCTAAGGCTCATGGGCCATTTCACAGGAGAGCGTGGGAAGATTGTATGAGCCTGTGGAACCGGGAGTTGGTTGTGAGACTATAACTCCTAGGAATACCAGAAAGTACACGCTAAAGTCTCACTGCCATGACTACCTAACTATGAGATGGAAAGGAAGACATCAGTAAACATGCTAATGTAAATGAGGAAATGCTCAGAAGGCCTCAACCCTAGACAAAGAACTGCAGGCAACTGAAGACTGTATAGAGCAGCAGATACAATCTTCCACAGGGAAGAGTGCACCAATTGGTTATTCGTTACTAAAGAGCCATCAGTGAAAACACAAAAGTATTATACAAACAATAGGTCTTATTTATGCATTTAGAAATAAACATTTATATGTATGTAAACAATTAATGAAAAAAGAGGCCGTTTATTTGAAAGAGAGCAAGGAAAGATACATGGGAGGCCTTGAAGAGAGGAAAAGAAAGGGGGAGATGATGTGATTATATTTTAATCTAAAAATTAATGATTTTTTTTTTACAAAATGCACTAGGTAGGTTTTTTTTTTTTGTAAAAGTGCAACATACTATCCTTACTCCTGATTGTATGGGACATAGTTCTGAATTTTACTATTAAATATGAAGCTTGTTGTGGACTTTCCATTGGTGATCCTTTTCTGATTTAAAGAGTAACTTCCTATTTCTAGCTGCCCTTGGCAGTTTTCTCAGTAGATATTGATGCTGAATTTTGGTAAATACTCGATGGATCAATTGAGATGATAACACATCATCTTTGATGTACGAATGTCGTGAGACTTTTTGGCTAGTTTTCCAATGTTACGAAAAGATTTAGTTTTAATTTTATATGATTTTGGGAGTGTCTTTATGTGAAAACATCTAATGAGGTTAGAAGAGGTGTCAGATGCCTTGGAACTGAAGCTGCAGGTAACTTGCAGCAGCTCGACGTGAGTGTTGAAACAAACACAGGTTCTTTGGAAGAGCAACACACACTCTTAATCACTGAGAGATCTCTCCGTGATTTTCACACATTAAACCAAAACTCCAACTCCTTAAACATCCTTATTTTGTCATGAAATACTATTCTTTTTTATACTTATAAATTAAATGTGCTAGTTTTGGAAATAAGATCTGAAAATTGTTCATTATATGGGATACTATGTGTGTTTTTGATCAAGTATATTGCGAACTGGTCAAATCATGCAAATATTCCTATCAAAGACCGACCACTTACAGTATACATAGTCAAAATCCTTTCTCCCAGATATTTTAGGGGGAGTAAATGTCTATTTACCCTGCTGTACAATACACCATTAAAACTTTTTCTTTTTGGATTGTAACTTTAATTTCTTTTATTTTGTATTACAATACAAAGAATAAATTTCATTATGGCAATTCCAAAAGAAATTTGTTTTGTTTCTCCTCTCTCCACTTCTCTCCGATTTCTAGTCCCCTCCCCTCTCCTTTCATGTCACCTGGGTCCTTTGCCTTCGCCATAAGAACTCTTCCTCACTTGCTCTTACTAGTTCCACAGCCTAAATCACTAACACTCCCCTCTATTGAATTAAAATAAGTTGATTGGATTTGTTCTTTTTATAGTTTCATACATGTAGAAAGTACATTTTATGACTATAATCAACCACAAATTTTTTTTTAAATCTCTGTCTCTCCCCTATAAACGTCTCTACATGTTCCTTCCCCATATTTAGGCTTTTCTTATGTTTATTTAGACTCACTGCCGTAACCATGGTCATCTATATTAACAAGTACTTGGCACTGTCCTGGTGTGTGTCTCAGTGGATCCACAGCAGACGACAATACACGTCCTCTTTAGGGGTAGCAATTTTTTCCTCATGTTTTTGGTTTGGGTATTTGTGTAATGGAGTCTCATATGATGAGTTTTATTTTTTCAAAGGACATTGTTTCCTAATGACAATAGTTTTCCCATTGTGTTTTATAGACTTCACCAGTGAAGTCACTTAGGCTTGTACTTTTGTTTCAGGGACACTTTTAAAAGAACTATTTTGTTGTTTAAATATAGATAAGGCTTCTTGTGTTCCAGTCATCTAATTTAATTCTTTTTATGAGCACATGGTCTACAATGATTTCTCTCTACCTCTGGTATAATTATTTATATATATTATTTATATAGTATACTAATATATATCGATTCTTTACTCAATTATATAGTATACTAATATGTATTATTTACTCAATTTTCTTTATTTCTCAAACCATATGTCTTGGTCCATTTAGCCAGCTTTTTCATATCTAATCACTGATGTGCCTCGCTTTTCATAACCAAATACTTCTGCTTCTGTCAAAGCGGATAACCTCACAGGGACTCCATCCTGTCGCTTTTGACGTTTTGAAAGCCAGAGGTTTTCAGTTCTCCACCTTTCTTTATCATTATTTCCCAACACATATTTTTAAGATCTCTTGTTAGCTTTCACACACCTTATTTTTATTCTTCTTACACAAATAAGTAATCCATTCACACCTCTATCTTCTAGCTATGACTCCCTTTATTAGTTTACCTTGCTAGCAAAACCCGACACAATCAGGTTCAAGTAAAAATACTTGTGAATGGTCACCCATAACGATTACCGGAGTTAATTACCCTTTCCCATGCTCCTCTTATTTAGCCTGATGGCTTCACTTATTATAGTAGATCATTTGCATTTGATATGCTTTCTTCTCCAATTTATGTTCACTTTGCTTCTAGAATGTTTCCCCCTACAACACTGGTGAGTTATCCTTAATATGCCTTGGTATTTCTCCTTATCTCTGGATCCCTGAATCCTAGAGAATACAAGGGATCAGTTCTTGTGTCTCTTCTCTATCTACATCCACTTCTTCGGTGAATTTGCTTAATGGTGTGACTACTATTTCTGTATGTATGATGATGGCTTACACCTCCAGGTATGATTTCGAGATCATCTAAAGAGCTGTTTGTGATGTCTACTTCTCATAATCGAATTGACATAACTACACACACACTTTCTGATACTGTGAAATGCTAAATAAAAATTTAAAAATAATTATATACTCTTCAACTCAAGAAGTTCTTCTTGAAGTCTTTCCCCTTTTGATAGACTTTATCATGTTTTTTTTCCTGGGTCAT